GGATGATTTGAAAAAATCAGGGCAGTTCATTATTTGCTGTGAAGATGTCTTTGCTTTCATGAAGGCCTTTCCCACTGATTCCTGATTCTATTTGCAAAAGTGATTACTAACGCTTTGTAGTTGGAAATGGTGGTTAGATACCTGAATTTAAAAATATAAATTTAAAATAGCAAGAAGAAACTATTTTTTTTCCCCATGGAACTCATGGCCTCCTCTGTTGTGCTTTTTAGAAAATGAAAGTATTCCATTAGAAGAAGACTCAATGCGGCTGTAAAAATAGAATGTTCCATTAGACTCTGAATAGCTGACATTCCACAGGGAGTATACACAAGAACCTTGCTGCCAAAACCATCATCGAAAGGAGGAACACAGGAACATTCCTTCTTTAGGAATTCAAGTAGCTATTTTATCTTGAAATTGATTGGCTAAGTGGCTTCCAGTTTTACTTTATGAGTATTTCATTGACATCTTTAAGACAATACTTTTCTTAGCCATATTTAAAATGTGCATTTTTCTAAAGCTACTTACTTTTTCTCTCCATAGATTACCACCACAACTATTACATGATTTGGAGGAATTATATACTTATATGTTATGATCGCTTTTTAGTCACTGAAAATACACACTCTTAACCATTGTTTTCCAATAGTCTCTAAAGCTGAGTACTTTATTGGATTGTGTTTAACTAGTTTATTAATCTCATTTATTGGCAAAGCATTTTGATAAGAACTGCTGACGACTCTCCTCTTAAACTTTAAACACTAAAGAATAATTGCAAAGAGTGAGCTCTTCATTCTAGAGGCAGAAGTTCAGTTGCCTGACCCAGCATATTTTAAATTATTATGGTTCGTACGTAAACATTCACCCTCACAAGTCTCTTCACTTGGTTTCAGAGACATTTCTAACACAAACAAATATTATCACTACAGACATGATCCACTATAAAAGTTTATTTTGCTATTACTAACATATTATATTAACATGTTACATTTATTGCATTTATGAACCAATATTGATCTACTATTAACTCAATTTTACTTCAGGGTTCCCTCTTTGTGTTGTACAGTTCTGTGGGTTTTGCCAAACACATAATTTCTTGTTTTCACTATTACAGCGTCACATAGAATATTTTCACTGCGCTAAAAATCCTCTGTGCTCCTATGTGTGGCAGGAGTGGGGAGGGGTTATTATGGAAGAAAAAAAAAATCTTATGTCTTCATATAAATTGCTTTCTTTATATGCTTTTCACCAATTAAGTTGCTGAATTTAAAAAATGGTGCATAAAAAAGAAACATCCAAATGATTTGTATCATTCCCTTAATTCAGTAAGAAATATAGAAATCTAAAATATTTGAAGTGTAGATATAAATAACTTGAACATAGGAAAATGGCATAGACGAAAAGTCTAAGTTAACACTGAAGCAGCTGAAGGGGATCAGAATATGCCCCAAAATATGGCACTTGGGTGCAAGGGCTATTTTGAGCTAAAGGTAACTGAGAATCAACCGATGGAGGAAGAGTTCTCTGACCTCCCCTTATCTGCCTAAAAGCAGAGAATAAATTTACCTCTGAGAAAGGTGCCCCCTTTTCTGCCCCTATACCAGTGAGAGAGTGACTCATTAAAGACAGGGAGTCCATAGCAAGATAAGTTTGCATAAACAGATCTTACTAAAACAGATCTTACCTTCCATTAGTTGTCCCATATATTTACTAGTGACTTCTCCACAGTTTATCATCCCTTGAAGCCTAAATCCTCCTCCCTTGTTAAAAGGGTAGATTAGCCACTAAGTCTAACTGTTCTTTGAGTTTCATATCTTTTCACTGAACTCCTGGGAATGCATATACATATTAATAAAAATTGTGTGCCTTTTCTACTGTTAATCTGCCTTTGGTTAGTTTAATTCACATTCCCCCAGTTACTCAACCTAAAAGGGTGGCAAAAAAGATTTTCTTCCCTAACAGAGCTTGATCAAACCTAATTCTGAATGATATTACTTATGTAATGAAAATTAGCAAAAAGTATTTTTTATTCCAGCATTCATCACAGCATAATGGACATATCCCAATTTATAATGCCATACCTTTATTTACATAGCAAAGGAGATGTGAGAAATTAAATCTTTTGTGACATAAAAACAGGCCTGATTCTAGAAAAAAAAATAGAGTAGATGCATTTATCCCACTAAACACAGGAAAGAAAAAAAAAGTCCCTCTGCTCCAATCTCTGTCCAGCAATAAGGAGACACCCCCAAAGGGTGTCAATAAAGGCTAAGCAGGGAACCTGGGCTTCCACCCCACATTTGTCAGTAATAAGGTGGCATCTCCTTACTCCTGTTAGTGTGGTATAAGAGGAAGCCTCCTAAAAAGAAGATTTAATCAAATCCAGAGTCTCATAAAATATTACCCAAAATGTCCAGGATATAATCCAAAATTATTCATCACATAAAGAACTAGAAAAATCTCAATTTCAACAAGAAGACAATCAACAGACAGAAACACCAAGATGACAATGCTGTTGAAATAATTTGACAATAAATTTTAATCAACCATAATAAAAATGCTTCAAGTTAGCAAATATGAACACATTTGAAATGAATGAAAAAATAGGAAGTCTCAGCAAAAACCAGAAGATATAAAGAAGAACCAAAAGAAAACTTTAGAACTGAAAAATAAAATAATTTAAATATAAAACTCGATGGATGAGCAGAATGGAAAAAAAAAGGGAAAAGAATCAGGCAATCAGTCTCGAAGACAGAACAATATAAATTAACCAATCTGAACATTAAGAAGATAGACTAGGGAGAAAAAAAAGAACAGAGCCTCAGGGACCTATGGGACTACAACAAAAAATCCAACATTCTTGTCATCAGAGTACCAAAAGGAAAGGAGAAAGGTGAGACTAAAAAGTATTCAAGGAAACAGTGTCTAAAAGTTTCCCAAGGTTAGCAGACATAAACCTAAACATTCAAGAGGCTAAGCAAACCCCAAATAAAATAAATTCTGAGAAATCCAAGCCAAGACACATCATAGTCAAACTTCTGAAAACCAAAGACAAAGGAAAAATCTTTAAAGCAGTTAGGAAGAAGTAACACCCCTTATCTTTAGGGGAAAAACAATAAGAATCACAGAAGATTTCTCATCAAAAAAACAAGGAATCCAGAAGGGAGTGAAACAACATTGAAAGAAAAGGACTGTCCAACCTAGAATTCTATATCTGGATAAAATAACATTCAGGAATGAAGAGGAAATCAAGACATTCTCAGAAAAAAGAAAACTAAGAATTTGTTGCTAGCATATCTAAGAGAATGGCCTAAGAAAGTTCAAAAGGGAATTATAAAAGAAGGAATCTTGGAACATCATGAAAGAAGAATGAATAACAGAAAAAGTAAAAATAAGAGCTCAGAGAAAGGATTGAAGAGGAAGAACTACTAGAACAAACTGCAGCCAAGTGAGCAAGCCATGGATGGGTTGTGACTACGGAAGTCTGTGTAGCAGGACTGTGCATAAGCAGAACTTTAGTCTCTATTCTACAGAATACACATGGATCACCAATTTGGCAGGTATGCTTGGCTACCTTTTCCACAGGCAAGACTCCCCTTCTTCCTTGATAGCAAAATCATGATTTAGTTCTTAGCCAGGCATCATACATGATTTGAGGGAGGTCAGTCCCCTCACCAGACCTACAGACTGAATTATGATTGATCAATGCCAATGTTGTAATTCCATTCCTTTTACCAATACCTGCTTTAGACATGGGCTTGAGAAGCAATTTTAAATAAGGATTCATTAACAGATCTCTTCTGAGAGACTCCTGAGAAAGGTTTTCCCCGTAGGTAAAAATATACACAGTGGAATTACCATTCTCCTTTTTCTGCTTTTGGAAGTCACTGTGATACCTGAAAATGAGGCAGTCAACTTGAGACCATAAGGGGAGCTGAGCATGAAGACAAGCCACATACTACAAAAAATAGAAAAATTGAAAGAACGTGTTTCTTAATGACATGACTAAAGGGCTAAAGTATCCAAACCTAGTATTAACAACTACCTTTAGACTCATATTATGTGAAATAATTTTTTCTTATCTATTTTAAAACTTTTTGCAAACAAAACATTGAAATGCTACAGAGTAATCCATGATGTAATTATACAATTGTTTCTCTATTACTGAATCCTTAAGTCATTTTATTTTCCTTTTCCCTCCCTATTATAAAGGATTATGCAATGAACATCTTCTAGCATAAAACTTTAACTAATTTAGGGTATATTTTCCGTGGACTTTGTTCTTAGAAGTGAAATTACTATGTCAAATGATCTGGATATTTTTGAGTCTCTTGGTAAGTAGTACTAAATTGGTGTACAGAAATTGTGTTCTTATTAATCTCCCACCAACTATGTATGTGGACTGTTTTACTATATTCCTAACAAGAGTTATTATTTTTCCTTCATTTTTGTGGATAGAACTTCAGTTTAAAAGCCCTGAGGGGGGCTGGCAGATTAACTCAGTTGGTTAAAGTGCAGCCTTGTAACATTAAGGTCAAGTGTTCAGATCCCCAAACTGGCCAGCCACCAAAAATAAACAAACAAATAAATAAATGTCCTGATTAGTTTAAGTCGATCTTGGCAATCTCAATTTCTTCCTTGAATCTTCTTTTTACGTAGGATAATGAATTACACATACTCTTAAAAAAATCCAATGGAAAATTTTGCTTATGTCAGCCATTTTTGTACCCCAAGGTAAAATTGAGAACAATTTATGATATCACAATGGACAATGCAAAGGGAAACGGACTTATAACTCTCACGTACGAAGATTCATTTATATTTTAAATAAAATATTGCTGAGTAGTCATCGCTTTTCAAAAGAATTAGAGTTGAATGTTACTTGACGGACATTTTAAAAATATTATAGCATTAATATGTACTGTACAAATAGATAAATAATGTTTAATTCAAAATGGTCTTTTAATAGATTGCAAAATAAACATGAAGTGTGTACTTACAAATCAAACACCAAGTAATGGAAGCTCTCTTCCGATATGCTGTCATGAAGTCGCACTAAAAAAAATAAAGGAAAAAGAGAAGAAAGTTCGTATTTGTATTATACGTATACATGATCAACAATAAGTCAGACTTCTAATGGTCATCTGTCTCCTAACTGGATGTTAGCATCATTCTCTATTTTAGCCTCTGTTGATTCACTATCCTTTACAGCATGGCTTGGGTTCAGACAGACCCAAGGTCTGGGTTCTGGTTCTGATAATTATTAGCTATGTGATCATAAGAAAATAATACTTAACTTGTAATGATGTTAGTACCTATATTTCATAAAATGACTGAGATTAAATCAGACAATAAAAGAAAAATAATTCACATATTTCCAGGGAAATACTAAATAAATGTTAATGTTCATCATAATATATATCCGTATATCCAATGTCACCAGGTTCTAGCAATTCTTCCACTTCCTTGCCATTCCCTTTGCTAGCATCCTAGTCCAAGCCTTTACAAAGTCCAGCCTTGATCACTACAATAGAAAGCAAGAGGGATCATTTTAAGAGTCTAGTAGATGGTCTCCCTGCCTCTGCTCTCCCTTTTGTCTGAGAATTTCTGCATAGCACTCCCTGGCCAACCTGTCAAAACACAGTTTTGATTATGTTACTTTACTCAAGTCACCAAAATCCATTTACCAAGTCACTAGCTAAAAATGTACAGCTAGAACTTTTAACAAAATAATTTACTAGTTCCTCAAATTAATACTACTTTAAATTTTCCAATGAGTTAGTTTTTTACTGATAACTCTACCTGAAGCCAATGTTTCTCTCTTCTGAATTTAAAACTCAATTTTTGTACCTACACTAAACCATACATGTAAAACCTACATATTGCTTTTTCTGCTATTTATTTATTTATTTATTTATTTATTTATTTTTTCCCTTTCTGTCTTTTTTCCTGACCGGCAACGGATCGCAACCCTCAGTCTCGCGCCCGTACCGGACCGGGATCTGCCACGGGATCGCCACCCTCGGTGTTGCGACTGCACCTCGCTCAGCCAGTGAGCGGCCGGTCTGTATGTGGGATCCGAACCCTTGGTGGGAGCGCCGCTGCACTCCCAAGCAGCGCACTGTAGCAGTGCGCCACCGGGCCGGCCCCTCTGCTATTTATTTTTGCATAAGCATCCCCAACACCACTTCTCCCCACTCATCTCCCAGAGATGGTAAATTCTTCCTATTTATCCAAATCACTTGTGTGGTGGCTTGACCTTCACTTGAGGCAACATAAGCCTGGGAAAGCAGCAAACTTGTAGGACACAACTGCTTTCACAAAAGTCACCACAAAAAACTAATGATTTCTACTATTTCTATTTCTGTCCTTAGTATGCTCCCCATGAAGTGATGACCACCGCATAGCAAATGTGTATTCAGAAAAACATTTAGCTTATCACACAAAGTATAATCATTTATAGAGGAAGTCTGTAGTAACCATGAAAATCTCGAGCTTATAGACTAACTATAATCTCCATTCCTTACAATCCAATTCCATCCACTTTGAATCTCATCCCTGGCCCACTATTAAAGTATTTTCTGAATCCCTCCAGATATTTCTCCAATGTGGAGAATGATAGACTTCTGCTTCACTCCTAGTTATAGATTATAATTTGTAAAATGTGGATTTTCTACTGTCATTAACATGAGGAGGAGACATATAATGGAGGCAACTGGGAATGTGGCCAACACAGTTCAACTTCAGACCCTTTACTCTATTTGGCTTTTAAGTGCATGAAACGTAAACACACTGCAGTCTCCCCTTCCTTATCTAATTTATTTGTCATAGTGTCACCCTTGTATTCATGGATGCAGCGTACTTTATCTTTATTAACTAAATCTAATAACTTCCCCTTCTTCGGTATATAAAATTTCCTTCTCATCAATATTACCAAACAGAAACCTTATTTTCTAAGTCTTTGCATCTCACACAGAGACTTGGCACACAGTAGATGGTCTTTCACAAAAAATCATTCTTGAACGCTTATTATACCAGGTTTTTGGCTCAGTATACCTGTACTTGTTTATGTCTAAAATAAAATGATCGATGTGCAATTAATTTTCTTGTAAATTTAATTGTGTAAGGATTTTCTTCAATTTGCCACTATCAGAGATGCCTGAAACCTTGGTTTAAACTTATGCTGCCAAAGAAAATCAAGAGTTTGGTTTGATGATATATCTTCTGCTCATGATCATTCAGCACAGTAAAGAAATCCATGTCATGGCTGATACCTCACCAGCTTTCTTGAATGACACAGTCTCAGAGATACCTCTCTGAGCAGCTGTAGCATGGTCTGTGCTCAAATGAGTTAAAATAATGGCATGGCTACTTAAAGAACTCATATAATTGTTCCAGAAAATAAGTTGGGTTCCCATGCTATCAAAGTTAAAATCTAAAGTGAAATTCACAAAGTGAGTAGGGGAAATCACCACTACTTTCTTCCACTGTCTCAAGGTGAAAGCTTCAAGTGAAGGTGGGATCTCAGGTGTTTGGATCAGAGTTGTAGAACCGAACATAGGAGGATATTTCAAGTATAATCAGAGAAGCAGTAATAATTTCTGGTTACATCAGGAATAAAATTTTCTTAGTATGATTACCACTATTTTATTAATACTTGTAAATGATCATCATTTGGAAATGAATTATTCTTTGAAGAAGTCAAGAGTTGCTCAAGTGCAAGCCTGATAATCAAACATATAACACATAAGCATTTAGCCAGCAAGTATATGATAATGTTTCAAGACAAGCCATCTGGCCAAATTCACTCCTTCAATATCACACAATTCCAAAATAATCCCTAATATGTCTAACCAGCTATTTGACCATGTGAAATGAATATTGAATAAATGGTATTATTGATATAGCAGAAAATACCAACATCATCTTTACTTGGGATTAATATGTACTTATTTCCTTCCTTCCTTTCTTCCTTCCTTCCTGTCATCCTCCCTAAGTCCTTCCACACTCTTTTTATAATAAAGAACTGTAAAGAAAGAACTGTACGAACAGAACTACATTACGTGAAATCATAACAATTTTCTCTTATCAGCAAGATTACATAATGAAGTCTTTGCAGAGATACTCCATATATTTACAATTACTTTGAGGATGGGTGTGTTTCCCTTTAAAATTTTTAACTCTTCAACTATTATTCTCATGGTTGAGGATATGTTTTACAGTCTGGAAGACAGTTTCTTACACAGCCACAGACACCATCTATTTCTCTTCAAACATTTTTTGTCAGTTAAAAGTACCACTCATTTCCCATCCTTTTTTTCTTTCTAACAGTTCGTCGAGGGTTGAAAATTGTGTTTACTTTTACAAATGTCACATTAATTATCCCCTATAAATAACTGTCAATTCATTTTCACACCAAAGGAATTATAGACGTTCTGTTCGTCACAGCTGTTAGCCCAAGACTAACTGCACGGCCAGCCTTGCAAGCGCTGCGCTACTGCATGCTCAAGCATATTGCTCCACGTTCTTGCTGTGACTGCTCTCTCTTATTGTCATAAGCTGCACATTTGGGTGCACACAATTAGCTTAATTACAGTCATCCTTACAATGTTTTTAGAGAGAAATTTTATAGGAGATAATGAGAAAAGTATTTGAGGAAAAAGTTTATAATACATATTGGCAGTCATTCTTTTCTGAAGTTTGCTCGAAGGTAAGATCAAGTCTGTGAATAAATGAATTTTCATAAACTGAAACAGTGTAACAGTTCTTATCTGGAATAAACATTTAAATTCTAGAACTTTAAGTATGGGATTTAAAAGGGGTAAAAGGGCTTCTGAGACAAAAATGTTTCTAATGGTTACTTGACTCGTGGCCTAATTCATTTCTTCTCTCTCCTGCATATATTATCAATTTGGTAGTTTGCATTCAAATTATCAGAGGATCACTGTTTCTCTTCCTGTTCTATGTTCTTGTATGATTTCACTGAACTTTCTAGCTAAGTATAAGTTCCACAAAGAAGGGGCCAAATAGGACCATGGCCCTTGTATGATCTGAGAAAAGAAATTTTATTTAATATGATAGAAGTTTCCTATTTATTTTAATATTTCATTTTATTTAAGGGGTTAAAAAATATAATACAATTTACAATTGTAGTGCTTACTAGGTCAGGCACAATGCAAATAGTTCTTGCAAGAGTTATTTTATTTAATATACACAAGCACCATGAGGATACTTTGCCACTGCCTTTTATAAATGAATATGCACAGCCTTAGAGACATTAAGAAAAATTCCAGGTTAATAGCTAGTAATTGGCCAGGCAAGGATCAAAATCTAGAGCTGGATGATTCCAAAGACCTTGCTCTTACTCGGAATACTATATGGACTCCCTAAAATACATTTGTCAGCAAATTACTCCCCAAATACTTTGTAGAGTATAAATTGGTTTGTCAGGGTAAAATAATATTGAAAAGATAATAAAAGAGAGGAAGATAGTTATGGCGACTAGAGAATGAAAAGCAGTGATAAGTAAAAAATTATTTCCACAAAAAGAGAAAACCATTTTGAGCATCAGTTTAAAATGTGATGCTGTAATCTTAGGGATACAAAAACAGAGAATGTCTAAGATACAGATTACATTGTTCCTAAATCCGTAGAAAATTAATTCTCCACTTCAAATTAGGAATATGAGAATTTCCAGTGACTGGGCTATTTTACCTGATAAGACAATTAATGTCCTAAAAATCTGAATAAGTAAAAGAACTTTGTCTGAGGAGAGATGACTGCATTTGGCCTGAGGGTGGGCCTAGGCGTGAGAATCTAGACTTTCTCCTCCAGGCGGGTCTCGCAGGCAGACGGGCTCCAGGCAAGTGCTCTGATACTCAGCGTAGACCCTGAGTGGTGGACGGGCCTGCCGGGGAAGTCCTTGTCATGGGGGAATGCTAGGGGCACAGGCTGGCCCTGGAGTTCCTCTCAACTATGGGGATGGTGTTAAGTGGTGAGGGGAGGAGAGAGGACACGGGGGCTAGGGCGGGAGGCGGGAAGGAGGGCCCCTACTT